TATCGACTTTTCGGGGAAGTAGAGTTTCGAATTTTGGGGGAAATATTACCTAATTTTTCGAAGTAGATTATCATAGAAAACGGGAAATTTGTATCATAAGAAATGGGAAATATCTACTTTCCGGGAAAGTTGGTTATCTACTTTCCCGAAAAGTAGATAAATTTTCTACTTTTCGGGAAAGTAGATTATCGACTTTTCGGGGAAGTAGATTTTCGAATTTTGGGGAAATATTACCTAATTTTGCGAAGTAGATTATCATAGCAAACGGGAAATTTGTATCACAAAAAATGGGAAATATCTACTTTCCGGGAAAGTAGATTATCGACTTTTCGGGGGAGTAGATTTTCGAATTTTGGGGGAAATATTACCTAATTTGCGAAGTAGATTATCATAGAAAACGGGAAACTTGTATCATAAAAAATGGGAAATATCTACTTTCCGGGAAAGTTGGTTATCTACTTTCCCGAAAAGTAGATAGATTTTCTACTTTTCGGGAAAGTAGATTATCGACTTTTCGGGGAAGTAGAGTTTCGAATTTTGGGGGAAATATTACCTAATTTTTCGAAGTAGATTATCATAGAAAACGGGAAATTTGTATCATAAGAAATGGGAAATATCTACTTTCCGGGAAAGTTGGTTATCTACTTTCCCGAAAAGTAGATAAATTTTCTACTTTTCGGGAAAGTAGATTATCGACTTTTCGGGGAAGTAGATTTTCGAATTTTGGGGAAATATTACCTAATTTTGCGAAGTAGATTATCATAGAAAACGGGAAATTTGTATCACAAAAAATGGGAAATATCTACTTTCCGGGAAAGTAGATTATCGACTTTTCGGGGGAGTAGATTTTCGAATTTTGGGGGAAATATTAGATAATCTTGCGAAGTAGATTATCATAGAAAACGGGAAATTTGTATCATAAAAAATGGGAAATATCTACTTTCCGGGAAAGTTGGTTATCTACTTTCCCGAAAAGTGGATAGATTTTCTACTTTTCGGGAACCTAAGCTAACCTAACCCACCCTAACCCAACCCAACCCAACCCAACCCAACCCAACCTAACCTAACCTAACCTAAACCTAACCTAACCTAACCTAAACTCTAACACTGAAAAATCAGTGTTTTGAAAAGAAATTAAGAGTTTTCTATGAAAAGAAGAAAAAATAAGTAAAATACATTGGTTTTTATCTAAAACTGATTGTTTTTCGTGAAAAGAAGTAAAACTAACTACCAGGAGTAAGGAGGGTAGAGAGAGGTGATCACTAGCGACTCCTACACTAATACTTCACGGACGTCTGAGGCTCATATCATAAAATTGGACACCATCCCTCACCTCCTCCAAGACGTTTCTAATTTTGGTAAGTGAATTAATAGCGTCTCTTGTCGCATGAATTGTGATTATGAGTTGAGAAAAAGCCTGTAATCACCATCTGTTACTTCTGAACCACCAATTGACGAGTCATGCTATTTATAGATACGACAGTCAGTCATCTCTGTGAATACCAACCTGACTAACTGACTGAATTATATAACTTGCTGGCGCTGCTCATAACCAGTTCTTGGTCTCACTGACTTGCTCTCTACACCGCAAGAGTTATTATCATAGTGTGGATCACCAAGCAACTTCTGAACACACTAACGTTTAACCCTCTTGAGTAAACGCTGATGAAGAAACGACTGACCTAAACTGCTGATCTTCCAAACGCGGATACATCAGCACCACAATACCACACCACAATACGTGTAAAGAAACACCAAGTTACATAACATTGGTGTATATACAGTAGGCGATGGGCATGAACATAGTAATTAAGTAATGAAGGCAGCAGTTCCTCACTAACAACAACAGCAGCAAAACGCCTGACGAAACCGTAAGCTACACAAACCGCTAGCCTGGCGGACCAGAAGCCTCGCCAGATGGTTCCCACTTTACGAGAAGTTTATAACGAAGAAAGTACAGCTCAACCTAACTTAACTTAGCCCTACCAACCTTAACCTAGACTACCTTAAGCAAACATAACTAAGTTTGCCTAATCTAACCTAACTTACCCCTATCATCATCTAACTTTACCTAACTTACCCGAAACATAACTTCACTAAAGCTACCCTAATATCGCCTACTTTAATGTAACCTAACCTAACTTAACTCGTGCTATTATTATGAAACTTGTGGACAAATATATACACAGTATTCTTTCTTCCTGTACCTGGAGAGTCGTGCACCTTCAGCCTATCTGATACTTAAATGGGAAGGACGAGACCAAAACTACATCTCCCTGTTAAGAGGGAGGAGTGGACAGCTTACCTCTACCACCACCACTACCATGACCTCTGACCTCACATCCTTGAATGACTCACAGGGCCGGAGGTCGATACAGGTCACGCCCACACACTTGCACGTACGCGACACCCACTCACTCTGTGTACTTAGTGATGCTTCCAGGAGGTCTTCAATTAGTAGTTGTGAATTATTATATGATGATGATGGTAATGATGATGGTAATAATGATGATGATGATGGCAAACCATGTAGGGAACGAAATGATGTACAGTAAGTTAGTCCTGAGTGTGTACGTTCATGACGACGACTTCGACAGATGTGTGATGGGAGAGAGAACTTCTGACTCATGGAGGGCATACGGTGAGGAAGCTGACTACAACCCGATAATAATCTACCACCACAACCTGATAACAACCTGACGTCACAACCTGTTAACAAGCTGACACCACAATCTGACAAGGTAAACTGACAACGATAAGTTATTAACAAGACAGTGAACCAATCCATGGGGGAAGGGGAGGAAGAGGAGGTAGGGAAGGGGAGGAAGACGAGGTAGGGAAGGGGAGGAGGAGGAGGTAGGGAAGGGGAGGAAGAGGAGGTAGGGAAGGGGAGGAAGAGGAGGTAGGGAGAAGGGGAGGAGGGGGGGGGGAAGGGGAGGTAAGAAGACGAAGAAGACTCCTCCTTATACAGAAAGATAGGAGTTTATACCTTGATCTAAATGCTTCTCATCTCTACTCCCAGGTGGATCTGATCAACGTGTCTCTATGTTGGTCTTAATGTACAGTCAACCACACAAAATGAAGAAGAATAATCAAGGTAAACTTTATGGCAACACAATAAAAGTAAAAAGTAAGTCAAAGTTTATGGAGGCTGAGACAAATTATTAAGACCATCATTGTATGTAATATTTATCCCCAGACTCATAACAGGTTAATAACAATACCTCTAAAAAGACAGGAGGTCTAAATAATGTGTATGATCATCCATGGTGTATGTGTGTGTGTATGTGTGTGTGTGTGTGTGTGTGTGTGTATGTGTGTGTGTGTGTGTGTGTGTGTGTGTGTGTGTGTGTGTGTGTGTGTGTGTGTGTATGTGTGTGTGTATGTGTGTGTGTGTGTGTGTGTGTGTGTATGTGTGTGTGTGTCGTCAGTCGTCGGTTTGAGACAGTGGTTTGTGGTGATCTTCACTGTCGCCGCTACTAACAGGTGGAGCAAGTGTCGCCATCTGGAGGTATGGTGGTAGTGGTGACGTCAGGAGGTGGTGTGAGGGTGGTGGTGGTGTTGTCAGGAGGTGATGTGAGGGTGGTGGTGACGTCGGGAGGTGGTGTGAGGGTGGTGGTGGTGTCGTCAGGAGGTGGTGTGAGGGTGGTGGTGTCGTCAGGAGGTGTGTTGGTGGAGGTCCTGTCAGGGAGGTGTGAGGGTGGTGGTGTGTCAGGAGGTGTGAGGTGTTGGTGGTGTCAGGAGGCGGTGTGGAGGGTGTTGGTGTCGTCAGGAGGCGGTGTGAGGAGTGGTGGTGTCGTCAGGAGGCGGTGTGAGGGGTGGTGGTGGTGTCAGGAGGAGGTGGAGGTGGTGTCGTCAGGAGGTGGTGTGAGGGGTATTGGTGTCGTCAGGAGGTGGTGTGAGGGTATTGGTTTCTGTCAGGAGGTGTGAGGGTGTGTCAGGAGGTGTGTTGGTGGTGTCAGGAGGAGGTGTGAGGGTGTTGGTGGTGTCAGGAGGTGATGTGAGGGTGTTGGTGCCGTCAGGAGATGATGTGATGAGGGTGGTGGTGGTGACGTTAGGAGGAGGTATGAGGATGATACTGTAGTGACGTCAGTAGGTGGTGTGGAGGTGGTGGTGACGTCAAGACCTGCGAGTAAAAGTAATCAATGGGACCAGAAGGCAAGATTACCAATCCTCGAAAACAAACACGAGAGAATTACAACAATGGAACATTCAAGAATTCCGACACCTATGCTGGTAACGTCTATTGAAAGGTATGAATAAAGACCAACGATACTTTACTTGTATGTTTACTTTTAACATAACCTTAGGAATATTATGTGGTCTTACTTACGATAGGCAATTTACTCTTCGTTAATAGATCATCTTTGTACGTCTGTGGTGAAGAGGTTTAAAGTGGATTTCTTCTTCCACTTATACAATAACTCAGGTAGTTTGTTTACGGGGATTTATAAACAAAAGTTAAACACAGTGACAGAGGAACACAAACAGTACAGCTTTAAATGTAGTGAGAAGAGATGCCTCACCCCCAGCCCGTGTAGTATTTATATATAAACACACGGTATATATAAATCAAAATTGGGTCCCAAACGAATATATTTCCACTTTTTAATATTCCTGGATGTATATTGATGTCTTATCCTCTCAACGTCACAACATACCAATACAACCACTAGATATTCTTTCATCATCTTGCACCTCTCATCATTATAATACATGCATACCTCAGGTTCATCTTTCGCATCATCATAGTTTTCTCTTGTTTATAAGTTGTCAGACACTGTCACAGTCTACAGATCCTCGAAGCTTAATAATATAACTGTAAATCTTTGATAAAACTTACCTTATATTCATATTACCATAAAACACAAAGAACAATTATAGTAAAATGAAGCGAACAGAGAGGTAATGAGTCCTCCCATTGAGTAGATTATAATCTGTTTATTAAGAACATTTTTGTAATTTACTATAGAATTTCATATCCAAACATCTATACAATCACCATGACAGAATCAAAGAGCTCTCCAGACATCATTGAAATAATGAATCTCATCAATACAAACAGTCCATTACCCGTCATCAACACAATCATAAAGACAAGGATCACTCACCTATTTAAACTAACAGTGATTCTGGCAAGTAGATTCGACTCCCATTACAGCAAAACATCTGGTGTGAATCTCCCACAGGACATCGCTACTCTTTTAGGGAAAACTCATCAAAGAAAATCGTGTACTTACTTGAAGATGATTTGATGCGAAGTGGTTTCTGGAAGGTGACTCGTCGAACACCTCCCTGAAGTGTGGCGTTGAGTTGAAGTCCTCCCGGGAGCTGGTGCGAACCCCAACCTCGTACTCGTCTGCCAAGACGTCGTAGTTCTCGTGGCAGCGTCCCGCCTGCTGGGTGTATTCATCCCTCGTGTCGTAGTCGTTCCGGTGTCGCCCAGGATGGGGTGGATCGTAGTTATAGTCGTCTCTCACTCGAGCAGGTACTGGGTCGTAATCGTCCCTGACTCGGGACGAAGTGTCGTATTCCTCTCTCCCTCTGAGTGCAGAGGACTCGTATTCTTCTCTCCCTCGTGTCGAGGGATCGTACTCGTCCCTACCTCGTGTCGAGGTATTGTAGTCGTCCCTCACTCGTGTTGAGGGATCGTACTCGTCCCTACTTCGCATCGAGGGATCGTATTCGTCCCTCCCTCGTGTTGATGGATCATACTCGTCCCTCACTAGTGGAGAGGGATCATACTCCTCTCTTCTAGATGGAGAATGGTCATAGTCATCAATCTCTCTGGACGGGGAGATATCATAGTTATCTCTCACTCTGGCCGAGGGAGAGTCATAGTCATCTATTAACCGTGAGGAGGAGTCGTAATCGTCTCTTAATCTGGACGGGGATAGGTCAAACTCGTCCCTCACCCTCGTGGAAGGCAGGAGGTCGTACTCTTCACGACCCCTGCTGTTTTGGGGCTTGGAGAAGTCGTCGTACTTTTTGGTGCGGGCGTGGGAGAGGGCCGACCTCTGCGGGTGAGCGGTAGGGGCGTGGAGGGATTTGGGCAGAGGTTTTCCGCCAGCGGCGCCGTTGAGTTCGCCAGTGTGGCTGTGGCGCCGTTGGGGCTGTGGCAGGGAGACGGACTGTTAGTGTGTACGATAGGACGAGTCTCTAGTATAATTGTGTCAAGAGTTATAGCATATGTCAAGGCTCTTACATACTGTATGTGTCAAGGCTCTCAAATTGTGTTAAATATCTCTAACAATGTGGCATGGGTCAACATGTGTCAATGTTCTGTATGTTTTATACTACAAGGCTCTAACATTGTGTGTTAAGAGATCTAACATCTAAATCAAGGTTTTAAATCATATTTCAGGGTTCTCTCGCATCAATGTATGTGTCAGGAGCTCAACATGTCAAGGCTTTGGCAGTGTTCTTTGTCCAGGTTGTAAAATATAATGAAGCTCGAACACATGTCATGTAAAAAGGCTCAAAGTTAAATTTGGCATAAAAGTTTAAAACTACGCAAGCCTCTAACATGTGTATCAAAGCTCTAGCACATGTGATGCGACTCTAACACATGTGCCAACTTTCAAAACTATGTAACAAGGCCCTAACGTGTGTGTCAAGACTCTAACATATATGGTCAGGCTCTAACATTTATGCATGTGTGTTAGGATGTAAATATGTGTCAAGAGTCTAGTATTTGTATATGTAACAAAGCTTTAATATGTGTAAAGGCTCTAACATTGTGTAACATATGTGTAAAGGCTCTATCGTATGTGTCAAAGCTCTAACACACTGTACATATATGTGTGTGTCTTTCTGTGATAAGACTGGTTACTCATTCATGTGCACTAATCATTGTTCTAGATAAAGACAAATAACAAGTGCTATACATTTATGTACAGTACCTATATGAATAAAAATTATCTCCATATTCCTGGTTTAGTAAGAAAAAAATATTGAATTGTGAAAGTTTGAAAAGTTTTGAAAATATAGTTTTAGAGGAGGGGAACACTTATGAATATATGACATAACACTATAAACAGTACATATAGGTTTTGTAATAAAGTTGAACTAAAAAATTATTCAGATTTTAAAAGAACATAATTCATGCATAATACAATCCATTTCCCTGATGTATACCTTGGTACTGGGAACTAAATCTTGCGTTTTGGGTAACAATCTCTCAGAAAATCGTTTCTGAAGTAGTTTTTGTCGCTCTGGCTGAGCGCTATGCCTTTCTTCTTGTTCTCTCTGTGAATTAAAATCTTGACTATCGATCCTACGAGCCTCCTCAGTGTCTGCCCAAGTTACCCCTTCAACAGCAGTCCCATTTTCTCTGATTACTTTGCCACTTCGTTTTCTCTCACAGCGAGCTCTGCCTCCACCACCGTCTCGCCTTGGAATCATCGCACCATTACTCATTTCCACGCCAGAATCCTCGCTGGAAGCCTTACTGATCTCACGTTTCCCGTGAGGGACATCAGGCACGCGCTGTTCTTTCAAAATCCCTTCCTCTTGACCATCATTAATAGGTGTATCATCTCCATGAATTTCCATTCGGTTGTACATGTCGATAAAGTCATCCAAATTGGAGATTTGTCCACCATAAGCATCGGTCTGTGTGATATAAAAAGTCTGGACTGTAGCAGTACATAAGGAGAATTACAGCATCAGAAGCTATCACAGGGAGGTTACCGTACTCATTGCGCAGTGTTCTCTACAGTTAGCTACTGTGCTAATTGCATTCGTGAGTAAAGTCTCTCTAAATAGGCTGCTACGGTTCTTACACGAGCGAGCCAGCCAGTGTTCAGCTCACTCACATGGAAAGTTCAAGTGCAGAGTTGCAAGACATTTTTGGCGTCACTACACAAATCCATTACATGAGTCAGGCGAGACACCGAGAGTACGGGTTGTGGGTTGTCCTCTTGCAGGGCTGTCACAGAGGACGTGGGCAGGGCAAATTCTACAGTACAAGTCTAGGCAATTATCACTCGTGTTCACGCTCAAACTGCGATATCTAACAAGTCTTTTGTATGGTCTAGATTGACAAAGGATTTCTCTAGGTGTGTCTAAATAGAGTGCAGCGTAGAAAACAAGAGAAGAGGTGGGGATTCTATGTGCGTTGGTGAGTCTACTTGACAGACCTACGACGGGAGACTCCAGTGGAATGTGATGGACGAACCCGAGTCCAGACCCTCAGAGATTCGCATGTTAATTCCCTGGCTCCGATAACGGTGTCGTGAGAACGCATCTAACTGGTTCGCTTTCTTTGGGAGTGACGAAAAAAAATTGGCGACAGTATTGATGAAAAGCAAAACTCTAAGAGTCTACTGTAAATAGATGCGTTCTCTCGTCCCGCTGTTACACTAATTAAAATCTACCTTTACGAACCTTTTGAGAATCTGGGTCGCGGATCAGGTGTGTCTAGAGAGCTGTGACGGTGGACCAGGTGTGGGCCAGGAGGAGGTAGGGTAAGTATTTGTCGTGTACCTCACAAAAATATTTACAACTCTTATAAAGATACAAGACCGACCAATGGCACACCTGAGGCTGTTAGGTGTGTGAGTGTATGGTGAAACATTCGGTGTTCTCATTACTTAAATAATCATAGAGGAAACTTAAACTACAACAGAGTGTAAGAACGGCGATCACTAATAAGGTTCCATGTACTTCAGGCAGAGATCACGTGGTGAGTCAGGTTAGGTAATGTGTGACCTGAGGCGGTGAATCACTAGTAAAAAAAAAATAATGCAGTACACAAACATCTTCATCCACATGCATATATCATTCATATATGTATTAAAAAAATACATTGTTCTTTATTTTTCAACTATAAGATCCTTCAATAAACTTATGTGGTTGTTGCAGTTAATATTAGTAACTTAGTTTGATAGGCACCTAATCCACTGTAGTTAACTATATTTATTTCTTTATTACTTATATGGTTCAAATGATCAAACTATAAACTCGATTTATATATGAGAGTTAATGTGATATGTTAGCACAGTTCAATATCATCATCTTATATCTCTAAAAAAATATAAATACAAAATACACAAAAAAAAACACTTTATTAAGTTCTTCTCGCTGCACCATCACCTTGAGATCATAATAATAATAAAAATAAAAGTCAGTAAAGCATAATATACAACACATCAAGGCAGGTCATCAGCCTCCTCCGCCTTGGTATAATTTCTATCATATAATCTTCCTTTGAGATGTCTTTTACAGCCATCTTGTTTACGGTGCCTCAGCTACCAACAGTTCTCGTGGCTGACTACCATGATTATTATCTGTGCTTTTACACTTAATTTGTGCATCTTCACTTTATTATATCAATATTCTCGACTCTTCTCTTTATCACAGAATTCTAATTTAAGTCTTTGGGGTTCAAAAGGTGGTGGGGTATTTTAAGAGGTGTAACATCTACAAATTTATTTCCGACATGACATACAGGGCTAGACTAAGCAAATGGTACAATGGAACTTCCTACAAATTAAATCTAAAAATACAATGCTGCTTTTGCCAATCTCTACAGTAATATACATAGCATGAAACACACTGTTAATGCCATGCTATAGCACAAAATTCTCTGGGAAAGTTATAGAGAGCGGGGAAAGTGCTGATTTTGTTTTCTAAATTCACTGACCAATATCAATCAATATCCCTCCAAAAAATTGCAATAACGGAACCTTGCAAGGGGTGACAAAAATAATCTTAGAAAATTCTCTGATAAAACTCAATCAGCCCATTCATGGTTTCTCAAAGATTTCAGTGACCAACAAATGCTAGTTTGTGCAAGGGAGATCAAGACGGGGTGAGCGTGAGAGACGTGGGGGGGGGAGGGAGGTGAAGGGTCGGAGAAGTGAAACATGACTCAGGTTGTGCAGAACAGCAGGTCACAGCATGCTTGTTGGTTATCACTGTTTTAGGCCAACCATTGCTGATTCCTGGTCCCTAGTTTTACATAGTGGGGGTCACCAGTACCTCCTGGGAGCACTTCAGAGGTTGTACGTACTTGTAAGATCAATAACGTGGGGGACCATCTTGACTGATAAAATAGAACGAGCTGTTTAAAGGGGTTAAATAATCCGAAAAATGACTGAGTACACCTCAGAAAAATTATGCGAAAAAGTAAACAAAATAAAATAGAAAATGAATCAATTTTGTGAAAATAAAAAGTGACAGGATATTGAAACACAGAATAACATAATATAACCAAAAACAGTGATGAATGTATCATCAATATATCACAAAAAGTTATAAGAACCTGTGTCTTACTGTGCCAATGTCTTCCCCTCTAAGACAGGACTACTGTATACTAGTGTCAATAACAAAATAATTGAAACTCCCTGAACTTTAGTGCCCAGTTAAGAGTCTGTTTGTCTGTCACTCCGACACGACCTATTACCCTTAACGAGCCGTGACCCCTTGCTAGATTACATGACACAATCGTCATTTTTAAAAAGAGTTTTCAGTTGTTAGAGTATTTGGAGTTTTCTCAGTACTGTATTTGAAATTTTTACGATAACTGAGTATTTTAAATAATATCCAATTATTACGGGACATTTGGAATTCTTAGTATTTGTAGCTTAAAACATTAAAAGTTATTGAAACATTTGGTTTCTGAAACTTAAAGAGTTCTTAAAACAGAGACATCTTATTCCGGAACAAATGTTAGTTATGGGAAAACATAACTTTTTTTTTTTACTTTTCTTAAACTTTGATTTAAAATGTTTGTCCCAAATCGATAACTAAAAAATGTTCCTGTCAATATTTTGGATATAAACTCAAATTGACTGGTAAATGAAGAGCAAAATATAATATCTTTCTAAAAAAAACAGCTTCATGAAAGTGTAAAGCAGTTATCAAACACTGATATAAAAACATGAAATTATTGTAATAATAGATGGGGGAAGTCAGTACAGATTGTTAAGTCGTGTACAAAATTTCTTAAGTGTGTCCTCAAGGTCAAGTGTATAACCTCCAGTCTCCTCTGCCAAGAGATAACTAGTGACCACCCACGAGATATCAGCCAATCACCACTGTCACTACAATTGTGAAATAGCCAATGATAGCTCAGAACTGTATCAACCAATCACCACCGTCAATACAC